GCACCCACACGTCAAATCTGTCTTTTGCTAGGTTACATTTCCGCACTTGTTATCACTTTGATTTTTGTTTTTATGTTGTTATGAGCCTATGGAACGGCAATTTACTTGAATCTATTATATGTATGACTTTGGGATTGGCTGAGAAAAAATAATGAGGCCATAAATGGCTGGAAAATTAGGTAAACACAAGGGGCATGCCGCCAAATTTTTACGAGAAAAATAAACTAGCCTTTGGAGTTCTAGTTCTATATTTGGCAAATTTGACTTGGATACACTGAAAACTAGGTTGAGGTGTCTTCATGAAAGTTGTAACTCTTTGTCTAAGCTTCGAGACACTTCCTAGTACATTTTGATCTGATAACCACAGCTCCAGTTATGGGCAAAATTGTGTAACCCGTTTTGTACCATTTTCATTTCCGCGCATGCCCGATGCATTCCTTTACTATTTTTCCGCTTTGATCGTTTTAGTCCTTATTTCCATTTGTGATCTAGGGCTTGGACTTGAGCAAGACAATAATAAATGATGGATGAGGTTCGTGAGTCGTGGTTGGTGAGTGATCCCTCGACTATTTCCAAAGTTACTTTTGAACTAATTCTTGCATTTATTACTCCATTGCATATCATTTGGGTTCGGGTGTGTGCCATGACATAATTTGGCTCCAATGAGTTCCTGGAAAGTCTTGTGCTTAGAACCAATGTCTCCATTACTGTTTACACATTCTTTGGAGCACGATGGCTCCTTACTTCTGTTTCACGGTTACCTGATCTAAACGAGCGTTGGATATTTAAGTGCAAGAACTTCACTGGCTCACATGAGCAATAAATGAACATTTGATTACTGTATCATGACATCATATCAATGCTTTATTGTGAAATATACTTGGTTGTTGATTTTACTGGTCACTCACTGAGTTTCTAGCTCACCCCCTATTATCTTCTTCTCCCCACAGGGATCGAAGTAAAGGAAGAACTTGTATTTGGATCTTTGTGTGACTGGATGGCATACATCTTGTATAGTTTAGATTTGGTTTTGGTTTATGTACTTTGGGCCTGTATAAATATTTGGAATTGAATCGGATGTATATCTACATTCTACGCTTAGAACTAGTTTCCGCTTCGCTTATGATATGTAATTTTGGAGAATTGGATGTATTATTTGAGTTGTACCTTGTAATTTACTTGAGGAATGTAGTAAGTGAGTGAGTCCAGGCAAGAGCTGGGAAGGCGGTCCCCTAAACCCTTTGGTTCGCCTTAGGGGGAGGTGGGGCCGTCACAATCCCCCACCTAACAATGCAAGCGCGATACAAATTAATGAACCATCCATTCATCACATACATAGTGTGCGAAGAGCGATTATACGCGTGGTAGATGTAAAAAACCCTAAAAAAGAGAAAAAGAGAACAAGGAAAAGAAGAATGCAACCTAATATTCCAAATGTGATATATAAGAAGGTTAAAAGAAGAAAAGGTTGACTAAATCGAATGCTCGGATCCTCTAGGTCCCCAGTGGAGTAGCCAACTGTCGCGCCCCAATTTTTAAAAAAATAAATAAATGGCGAGTTTAGAAAAATGGTTTTTGATTCAATTTTTTATTGGAAAATGAATTTTTTATTTAAAAAGAAAATGACAAACATGAGTCTAAATGGGACTTGAAAATGCGACGATTTGACCCAAAATATAGTTTAAAAAAGGTTTTTAAATGAAAAATGGAGTCGCCACTTGGTATAGAGTTAAGGTGTACCAAGTCACCTAAAAATGAAATTTTAAAGAAAAAATAGAAAACCCCTTTTAAACGACTCCAAGTCTACGTAAATCAAAGAAAAAGGTTCGGGAGTCACATTTGAAGAAAAGGAAGGCAAGGACGAAGTCCAAGGCACCCTCTCAACCTAGCTAAGGCTAGTTGCGAGATTTAGTCAAAGATTTTCTTATTTTACCCTTAAGATTTATCACATTTGGATGCACTATATGAATGCAAGCCCTAAACCTAAGGGGGCATCAGGGGGCAAAATTTCTCTTCAAAGCTCGAATGGTACCAATCACATTAATTGTAACGCCCAATAATGATTCTTTGGAGAGGTCACGAATAATACAAAAATATGAGACTCCAAGAAAAGAAAAGGGATAAAATAATTATAGAAATATATATGTCTTAAAGGAGTGCATTATGTCGGGTACGGGGGACTAATGTTCGTGACTCAATTTTCCCTTTAATAGAGGGAATACGAGCGTGCTAAGGTTAGAAAGCCAAACTCGTCCATATCCAATATCCAAGGGGTGTTTCCTAGTCTAATCAAGCAAATGTACTAACCTAGGTCTAGTGCTTAGATGAAATGCAGGTCTAATGTCATGTCTCATACAAAGGGGTAAGTAATATACATATATAAGGGAAAATACGGGGGAAGGGATATACATATATAAGGAAAGTGTCATACAACATGGTGAAAGAGGCCCTAGAAAGTAAAGATATGGATGAGATGAAGTGATTTTATCACACAATCATGATCTAACGCGCGAAGGGCTCCTAAGGGTCTAGCGTTGGACTAGCCCATATTTCTACTTTCTCACTAGCGTTGGACCAATGAGAAATCGAACAAAGAGCCACAACTAGCATTGGACAAGTGCGGATTCGGGAACGGCGGCCACAACTAGCGTTGGACTAGTGTGGTGACGACATGCATTTATTACAACCAAATAAATCATGTAAGACCTAATAAAAGCATATAAACACATAAATCACATATAGCACATAACACACGAGCATGATATCTAGATGCAAGATCCTAAGAAAGCGGTAACACATAGCACATAGACATGCAAAACACACCTATGGCAAGTAAAACAAATAAAGCCCTAACTATTACATTCGGGGGAAGCCTACTACAATCCAAGAGGGGAAATGAAAATAAATAAAATAAAATAAACCTAACTATTACAACTTGGCACTTAAATGCCTTTTAAATAACCAAAATGAAGCTAAAATAAATATACGAAATTAAGATGACTAAAGCGAATAAATAAATAAAATGAAAACACTCAAAAGGCATGCAATTAAACACATAAATCACATAGGCACACATAGGGTCAAATAAAGTAAAAATAAGGGATAGAGTGTACCTCCCTTGAGTTGGGATGCTAATGACACGAATTTACTTATTTACCCTCCAAAATAACAAAAAGGGTCAAGGTATCACTTTAATTAACAATTAAGTAACATGAAACGAAAATTAAACACAAAGATAAAAATTAAACACGAAATAAAAATTAATCATGAAAGGAAAACACTTAATAAATCATCTATGTTAAAGAAATTAAGGCAAACAAAAACCTAATTGAAATAATCGAAAATTCTAAAATGAGCTATTAAAATTAGTGACTCAAAATGGGATCTATCAAAAGTAAGTGCTAAACTTCTTAAAAAAAGAATGGAAAACAATTTATTAGAATTAAACGATAAAATTAGCTAAGATCTTAATCAAACGGAAATCAAAACTATAAGTTCTTCCAAAAACTATTAAACTTTCTTATTTCATCCTAAAATTCATAAAAAGTGTATCCACGAATCAAATGAAAACATACCAAGGAAAACTAACATGCTAAAGGGATAAAATTGAGGAAATTTTCCAATCTCATGAGCCAAATGGGATTATAGGAAACTAGGGAGGCTAGAGAGCAAATTTTCTGGAAATTGTTCATGCAAAATGCATGTAAATGTAACGAGGGAGCCTTCTGCAACAAAAGCCATTCAACAACTCTTGAAACTTTCTGCAATTTTCGGCTTCCATTCACACAGGAAAACAGCCATGAACACGAAATCAAATGAAACATGCAAGCCTGTCAACTAATTCCACAAGACTCAACCCAACACAAATCATACAATGACATAAGATCAAGGATTCAGGATCCCTTCTCTCCAACAGATTCGCAAAGACCGGAAAAGCATCTTTTGTTGCTTCTACTAAATTCTAGCATGTTGGGTTCAATTTCTGGTGGATTCTTGGATGCAATCCAAATATAACTAATGGCCAAACCAACAAATTTAGATCAAAACAACAAGATTATCCAGTAATCTTCCCATTTTTCAACCACACAGTCTTATTTTTATGCATGAAAAACTGAGAGAGAGAGCATGCGGCAATTTGGAAATTTTTCGGCCACTTGAGTTTTCATTCCCAGAAACCACAGAAAACTTACAGCCCAACATTCATTAGATTTCTCATAAGCACATAATGGAACATGCAATCAAGGGAGACTAGGAAGAAGAAAACTGGCCAGTTGAAATGCATTCATATATTTCTTGCTGCAATTTCATTTCCAAACGAAGATTCCAATCCAAATGCACAACTTTGATCTAAACTTTATCCCCTAGACATCAAAACTCTAAACGAAGCAACCAAATACATAACTTCAACATCCAAACAAGCAAAAAAACATAGATGGAAATGATGCAAATTCTTGGAAACTTTCATGCAAAAATGGTTCGACAACCTATTATTCAACCATCTGCAGCTTCGCAAGAGCTTACGGCATAACGTTCATGATTTCTGATGTAGTTGTATATAAACTTTCAACAAGAATTCATACAAAACTTCGAACCAACCATGGCTCAAAACCTCTTAACAAACGAATCAAACACTTCAAACAATCAAAAACTTCAGCAACAAAACCAGAACAATACTCCAACATCCGAACAAGCCAAGATAGATTCAAAATGGAAACGGAACAGGCCACTTTTCTTCACAACCTATCCAGTATTTCAAACGGACAGGCCATGTAAGTGCGCTTTCTTTTCAAAGCTAGGATCTTGCTGCTAAACTACAGTCTAGGAACGAAATATAATCAACGCCAAACAAATTTCAGACCCTAACATACTCGTCATACACAAAACAGCAAAACGGCAACATCTTTGAGCTATAACCATAAACCAACATCGCGACTCTTAACCACCTTCACCGACTCATGATTCAGCATAGTTTCATGATTTATTGACAAAATTATCTATAGGAAAGGGAAAGGAGCCTTACAGTGCTATTTTTGATGGATTTTTAGCAGTGATAAAAGGAAAAAGACTTGAGTAGCAGCTCCTCTCCTTCTTTTTGGTTTGACCAGAAACCTCCAAGCTTTTGCCCAGTCGTGACTCCCCCTTACTTTCTATCTCAGCCTCTCGGTCTCTTTCTCAGCTCCCATAGCTTTTCTTGCTGGCTTTCTCCTTAGTTTCCCCGTTGCCCAGATCTTTTTCTCTGTTTCTTGTTTTCCTCCTTCTCGGTCTCCCCCTCTTTTATAGCCCTTGTTCCTCCCAGCTCTCTCAGTTTTCCTCTCCAGCCGCAAGCTCTCTCTTACTCCAATCCTAGCCGCCACCTCTCACTCACTCTCTTTTCTCTCCAACCCTTCTCACCCTATCTGTGTTCTCTCCAACCGTCCTTTTTCATCAGCCGTCATCTCTTAAACCCTCTCATATCTCTCCTTTATATAGGCATCCGAAATCCTCCCGTAACCGAAGACCAAGGGATGAGATTTGGAGCTGCATTTTGGCTCTTCCTATCAAAACCATCAGATGGCATTTGATTTTGTACCTTTTATGTTGTTGAATCGAAGCCAGGTGATCATGTACTGGCTTGATCCAACGGAGCAACAAAATCAATGAAAAATGGGATGTCCTTCCGTGCATGATTTCTGCTTGCAATGTGATACGGAGAAAGGGCCAGGATCCTGTGCAACTTAAAGTGCATGAGCTTGCTCTCTCTCTTTTTTTTTTTTCAATGAATCATTTAATTAAACAATAACTAAAAATAACCGAAATAATAATTTAAGTAAGAATCGAATAAAATGAACAAAACTAGGAATAAAAGATAAAAACAAAAATGCTAAGATTTTTTTTTTGTTTGATTGGTGATTTTTCCTTCTTGAATCTAAAAGAAGTAAAACATATTTTTTTGTGAATAATTTTCTCTTTTCTGATGAATTTTGTGCTAAAGTGTCTTAAAAAATGAAAATAAAAAGAGAGTAAAAATAAAAATAAATAACGTGAAAATAAAAATAAAAATAATAGTAAATAAAAATACACTAAAAATTTGGTGTCTACAGCTCCCTTTTGCAGCCTCGGTATCTTAATTCCACCGGCTTCTCTTCCCATCTTTGGTGGCGATGTATCTTTATTAACCTGCCTAGAGGTGCCACTCGGCGCATTTCTTTTTCTTGTCTGGAAGGCTTTCACTTGAAGCCTAGCACTTTCAACCTTCTGAACTTTCTCTAAAGCATCGGTAAAAGTGTCAATTTCATCTGCTGCTAACGCCTCTTGAATCTCTACATTCAATCCCTGAACAAATCGCCTTACCCTCTTTCTCTCAGTCATCACCAATTCAGGGGCAAATTTAGACAGTTTAGTGAACTGGATCTCATATTCGGCCACGCTCATGGTGCCTTGTCACAATTTAATAAAATCATCCTCCCATTTTGTAAGGATCGAAGACAACCTAAGAGGGGGGGTGAATTAGGCTTTCAAAAAACCTGCTAAGATATAGTCCACTTTTTCACAGACTACCTTTCTTTTCTCAAATACCTCCCAATGAACGAGATAACACAAGAGCACAAGTATTCGTGAGATGAAGAGAAGAACAGTTTATGTAGAAAAGCAGTAAATGAAAGTAAAGAAACAAACCAGGCTTCAAACACAACTGAGGTTTGAACACCACTTTTATATACCAAATTACTTCAAGTTGAACAAACTTGCAACCAATCTTTTGTGTACAAGGAAGGGATCACTTCCTTCTTGCCCCAAATCACACTTGGTCAAGCAAGGAAGTTTTACAAACACTCGCAACCCTCACTATGCTACACTATTGAAGAAGCTATGTCACACTTGAAAAACTACACGAAGATTACACAAGCAAAGAGTACAAATGTTCCTTTTGAGTATTCTAGCACTTGAATCACTCACAATCTGATGTAGACTTGATGTGCAAAGTTCTCTTTAGGTGGTTGACTTTGTTCTACTTATAGGAGACCAGAAGGTTATTCAATTAATGCTGTCAACGGGTAGAAGGCAACTGAAGAGTCAACTAGCCGTTGGTGCTGTCGGACGTCCGATACACAGGTGTTGAGCGTCCGATCTTGATCAGTAATCAAGTAACTCCTGGCTTGTCTTCTTCGGACGTCCGAGTCTGAGTTCTTTACTCGTCCGAAGATACTCAAAGGTCGGACGTCCGATACTCTCCTTTTGTGCGTCCGACATCATCCTCAGCAGACTTCATTCTTTTTTATCTTTTTTTTCTGCTTTAAATCCACAGACCTGTTTGGTTCATTTCTGAAAAAAGGATCTCTACAAAAGGTATTAAAAACATCCAATTGTTTTGTAATCATTAAAAGATATGAGTTGAGATAAACAATCTCCCCCTTTTTGATGATGACAAAACAATTGGATAGAGCAAAAAATATAACAGCTCCCCCTAACGAAGTGCATGAGTAGTATACAGGAAGAAACGCAATCCACATCATCAGTGCTGATCCAACTCAACTCCCCCAGAGACTGACTCCCCCTAACTAGTTACTCTATACCATCAGTGTTAAACCAAATCCAAATCCAATTCTCCCCCTTTTTGTCATCACAAGATTTAGTATCAGTTTTGGTACCAGCAATGCATCTCATCAGAAACAATATCAGTATACACATTTACAATGTACAGCACAGTTTGGAATCAATCATTTAGCAGATATCAATCAGAAACATTCATTCTTTCAGCAGATTGCACAAACACATAACCAATCATATCACCCAAGAAAGACATTCATAACAAAACACTTAGTTATAACATTCACAAGCAGTAAAAAAAAAATTATCCAGTTGTACAGACCATGTGTTCAGCACTTAATACAAAAGTGCAATGCAAAAGATGAACTATAGTCCTAGATAAAGGTGCAGTGACCTAGTAGTGCCTAGATGGTGATTTTAGATGATCCAGGCTTTCTCCTTGCCAGACGATACTGTGCAGGATCCTCTTCTTCCTCAGTTTCTTCATCACTATCTTCATCTGATTCCTCAGTTGCTGGAGCCTTGCCTTTATCCTTGGGCTGAGAACTGGAAGCTAGTGTAGTCTCAGCACCAGTAGTTGGTCCTGTAGGCTCAGTTCTTGGCTCATTTACATTGCTCTCAGGTATTGGAGGGACAAGAAGGTTTCTTTTTTCAATGAAGGAGGATTTTTGGTCAGAGGTCATGGTCATCATGAGACCTTCTTCAATAAGCAAGACATGTTGTTTGAGATCTTCAAGCAAGGAAATGACTTCAGAATTGGATGCGAAGGACCTGCCAGCAGACTTCCTAGGATGAATGGTGAAAGGAGAGACAAAGTCAGACTGATCACGAGGAGTCCTAGGAGTGACAGGGGTTTCATGAAAATTTTTCCTTCTAGACTCAGTAACAGTCTCCTTATAGCACCAATGGCCTTCAAAAAATTTTAAGTTCTTTCGTTCAAAATAAGCTTTTGAGAAGACTGATGAAGCACTGTCTTTGGGAGATTTTCCAGAAAAAGAAATTTCAAAGTGGGCAAAGATAGGGGTCAGAAATCTGCCATAAGAGAGCTTCCTACGGCTGTCAGTGCTAATTTTGAGCAAAAACTTGCACATTACAAATCCAAAGTCAATGCGAATTTTTTCAACAAAGCAGTAGAACAGATAGAGTTCCATTTTGTTTGCATCTGTTCTGTGGCCATCAGTTGGCACTAACAGATTTGAAATGATGGTGAAGATGATAAGGTTCTGAGGACTAAGATCATCCAGTCTTGCCTCAGCAGGAGTATTGAATGTGGTTTGAAAGTAGGTCATGAGTTTAGCATTGTAAAAATGATGGTAGGTAGAAGGAAATTCCTCATATGAAAAGAAATTTGCAATTTTTCCTTTGAAATTAGGTTCAATACTGGTTTTCAGAATGGAATTCACAATGTCAGGAGTTAACATGATGTCTACAGAATTGACCCTAGAGATGAGTTCCGTGTGTGATTTACCCTTTCTAAGATTAGCAAAAAATTGATACAGCATGTCAGGGTAAAAGACATTAGGAATGGTCAGAATATGAGTCCATTTCTGGAATTCAAATAGTTTGATAACAGGTTCAAGATCAAGCTTACGAAATTCATAGAGAAGGATGAGCCTTTGGGTGATGAACCCTTTTTGAGAGACTAACTCAAATCTGTCTCTAGCTTCATCATCAATGAATTTTGGAAGAGGAGTGGGTTCTTCTACTGGTTGAGACACAGGATCCTTTCCAGAACGTTTCCTGTTTGAGGTTTGTGTGGCAGATGCCTCTACATTTTGAGCCTCAGTTCTTGTCCTTGGAGACTTCCTGGTAGAGGGTTCAAGAGTTTTCTAACTCCCAGTGGTGTTTCCTTCATTCTGCTGATCATCAGAGGGATCAGCAGACTGCTTTTTCTTAGATTGAGGAGTGCTCTTCCTCTTTGCAGACCTCTTTCTTTTAGCAGAGGACCTTGTGACAGCTTTATCACCCCGGACAGCCTGTTCTGGTTCCTCGTTTTCACCAGCAATGTTTTCTTCAGAGCTCTGTTCTTCCAACTGTTCATCAGATGAATTCAGCAGTTGGAATATCCAGTTTTCTTTGGGCAGTTTACTTCACCTTACCACCACGGGTTACACTCTTCTTTTTGGGTGCCACAGGAGGTGGTTCCACGATTTCAATGTCTTCATCCCTAAGCCTAAAGGATCGTCCGGCACTAGTAGATCCTCCTCTGACTCTAACCATGATGCAATGTGGATATGATTTTTGATGCAGAATGTGGTGTACAGAAGAAGAATGCAGTAAAAGCCAATTAGAGTGCACTAAGAAGCCGCAAGAAGAGAGTTGTGTGAAGTTAGGGTTTCGTATGTGAATTGGGAGTTTTGGGGTAGTTGGGGGTTAGGAGTGATTTTTATGAGTGATTAAGGAGCAATAGAGGTGTAAATAAGTTGGTTGGTTCAATTTCTCGGAACTTGGTTTGAGGAGAGAGGAATTTGAATTTCAAATATTAGATGAAACTGAAAGGTCGCGTCCGAGACTTATGGAGGAAAATGAACTGAGAAGAATGGGTAACTG